GAGAGCTGTTTGCGCATTAGCTCCGCCCACTGCCGAGAAACCGGCTTCTGCTTGTTAAAAGCAGAATAATTCTAAATTAACTCTGTTATTTTGACAGGAAAATACAACAAAGGATATGGTTTACATGTAGCGCGTCGATTCAGCGTGGTATGCAAGACTCTCGCTCTCTCTCTTTGCATGTGTGAGAAACAGTAAAGCGACGGCGAGTCGTGCGCCTTCACACAAGTTTACGGTACGTCAAATACAGGTGCGCTGCGTGCTACATACTGCGCATCCATTGAGTACATGACATGATCCATTGAGCGCATCCAAATAGTACAGATCGCTTGACGGAGAGCGAAACTCTCAAGCGCTCAGTCAGTGTGTTTATCGAGTGAAAATCTGTGTTGAACGCCTCTCACACACATACTGGCGTGTAAAATCTAAGAATTTATTAGCCAATGGCTAATGTTAGACATTATTTAGTCGCCCAGAGTAAGATTTAGTCGCATATGCGAGTGATTTACTCGCAATGTAGAGATGCATTTATATATTTCACTGGGTGCTGCACTTCTGCATATGAAAAAAGGCAGGACAAGTTTGAACAACAGGGAGAGAACAGCAGTTAAATATGTTTAATGCCTCATAAACTAGATTTTAAAGCAGGGTGCTTATAAGTCTTGCGGACATCCACCTTAGTTTTTTTTGTACGCCTACCTGAAATGGCTTCACTTTATCTTTATGACTTTCCTTCTTCTGTGGCACATAAAAAAGATAAATCTCTAAGTGTTTTTGTCCATAGACTCTTACATTGTGTGAACAAAAACACACAATCTCATAGCAATTCATAACTATTTGACATTTTGGCAAATCTGTGACTAATTCTTATTAATGTTTCGTACGATCTGCTTACGCCCCAGTTATGATTATGTTTAGAAGTGAAACTTCATGCTTACTTTTTTTCCTAAAAATCATATGGCTTTGTACGAATCACATTGTACAAATTCATACGAAGTTGAAGCTTGGAAGCTTGCCAAGGGATAAAAAAAAAAAGGTTACTGCAAATTTTTATCCCACTTCATACTTTTTTCCCTTGCAATATCTCACAATTTAGACTCGTTTTTTTTTTCGCAATTCTGAGAAAATAAATACATTTAGCATTGTGAAATATAAACTCACAATTGTGAGAAAAAAATCCGAAACGTGAGATAAAAAGTTGTAGTTTCATTTTTTTAAAGAAACAAAAACAAACAGATGTAAACTCAAAATTCAGAGAAAAAAAGTCAAAATTGTGAGATATAAACTCAGAATTGTGAGATGCAAATTCAGAATTGTGAAAAAAAAAAAAAACATCGACTTTATATCTCGCAATTTTTTTCTCAGAATTGTGTGGCGGAAACGGGCTTCCATATGGGCCTATAAAGGCTTGGAATGACATGGGGATGAGTAAATGATGACAGAATTTTCTTTTCATGGGTGAACTATCTCTTTAACCAGTAGCAGTAATGCCTGCATGATGTGACTGATTTAGGCTTACTTGTTTGTGTTACATAAAAAAAGGATGCACTGTGTGCCAGCCGATGAATTATGTATGAAGGGTAGAAAGTTGTCTGTAAATGAGACAGCAGGACAGTCCTAGAGTATGAGTGTCAGGAAAACTAAACAAATATAAAAACTGTGGTTGAACCTGTTCCTCCACTCAAGGAAGCTTGATATCAGGCAAATGTGTCATTCAGTCTACCGTAAAAAAAAAAACTATAACCTAATATGTGTTTTTATACATTATCTTTCTCATTGTTTTCAGTGTTTAAATGCTCAGTTGTTTTACTACAACCACATAAAACACTATTTGAAGTCGCTCTGGATTTTTCATTGGGATACAGCTCTATACAGGATGGTACAATGTGTTTGTTTCAGCTCCTAACAGGCTCTTGGCACCGTCCAGCATGGGCTGGTGCAGACTGTGGTTAAGGAATGACTGTGGGAGTAGTGAGAAGAGCCAGACCTTTTCAGGAGATGTGATTGATGTTGCCTCAGACCATTAAGTACAATGGGAGGAAACGAATGCTGAATTTATATTTGTGAGATTCTATTCTGCAGCTCACTGAGGCCACAAACGGCCCCTTTAAGAACACTGTGTAATTGTGAGTCTTTTTAGCTTGTCACAAAAATGAGAAATAGGAGTGAAAGTAGAATTTATTTCAGAGGGAAGTGTTGTGGTAAATTATTCCCTTCATGTATGATATATCAATAAAATGGCAACTTGGGCTTTAAAATAGTGGCCTACAATTAGGTAATTTTTTTTCGTAGGTCTGTATTGTTCTTTGTTTAAGGTACAGTGAATCTCTCACGGCTGAGAGAGAAGTTACACAACTACAACAATCCATTGTTTAAACGTAAGGAATGATGGGATTTGGTGGAGGGAGTGGATGTGGACTTAGTATAAAACTATCAGGTTTGTCTTACAGTATTTTGGGGAAAAAAGTGCTTATACACTGAAAAAAATAGGTGTATAAACATTTTTTTTGTTCAGAAATTTCACAATTACAATGAAATGGCATATAGCATATTGAATTACATGTGAAAAATTTAAAACTGAAGTAGCATTTTCTTGTAAAACATACTCTAATAATCTTTGTTTTATTAACAACTTTGAAAAACTGATGATTTACTGATTTAAAGTAAGTATAAATAACACAAAAGTCCTGTTTAAAATATTTGAATGCTCCCAGAGGAGAGGTGCATGTTTTGGGAAGCTGAAAGTCATTACAGTAATTCCGCTACCTTGAATCTCTGGAAAATTTACAAGTACATTTCTAGGAGGACCTTTTGATTGTTACTATAAACAAAAAGGTGATTGACTGGTATGTTCCCAACTTTAATGTTTCCTTTCTTTGTCTTTGTGTCGACTGACAGCCTAACTTTTCCTAATGATTTGTGTTATCCTGTTATTTTGTCCTTGAAAGTTCTTTGCTAGTATCATTAGATCAGTGTTTTTAATGTCAGCCAAAGTTTAGTCAAATTTCAAATAATATTAATAATGAGAAGAAATGTTTCTTGAGCACCAAATCAGCACATTAGAATGATTTCCGAAGGATCACGTGACACTGAAGACTGGAGGAATGGTTGCTGAAAATGCAGCTTTGCCATCACAGAAAAAAATTACATGTTAAAATCTTTTTTGATCAAATAAATGCAGCCTTGGTGAACATAAGATCCTTTTTTTTTTTTTCGAAAACAGTAAAAAAGTGAAACCCGCTACATGTTCTATTGCAGTTTGGTATCTATTTTTCATTGGCTGTCCATTTAACACACAGAGCATCAAAGGGACCATTCCTCCTTTGTGTGCTTTGTCTCAAAACTTACATAAGACATTTGTCCTTTGTGGGAAACTGGAGCTCCCCAGTTTCTGGCACATCACATGCTCCGATAAATACTTTTCATAGGGTTTGGCTCTGAGGAAATTCTATTGCCCCTGTAGGGCGGCCCACTTCTACCTGTCTCAGCAGCAGAAGTGAACCCTGGGGAAAACGACTCTATAAACAATTACCACCGTTCTTCTGTGTTTTCTGTTCGGCTAATTTCTCCTGAGTCTGAACTAATGGAAGAAACTTCCCACTCAGGGGAAAATTCTCACACACTTGCTCTTGCTGCTCCAGCATTTTATATTTAAAGACATTTTACAAAATGGGGGCAATTTAATATACATTATTCAAAAGTTTGTGGTCATGCTTTTGAATGAAGTCTCTTATTCTCATAAGACTGCGTTTATTTGTCCAGAAATATAGTAAATATTGTGAAATATTATTACAATTTAAAATAACTGTTTTCTATTGTAATAGATTTTAAAATTTAATTTATTCCTATGACGACAAAGCTGAATTTTCAGCAGCCGTTGCTCCAGCCTTCAGTGTCACATGATCCTTCAGAAATTCTTTGATCAAAAGAACAGCATTTATTTTAAATAGAAGTTTTTGTAACATGATAAATGTCTTTATTGTCACTTTGGGTCGATTTATTCCATCCTTGCTGAATAAAAGTATGCTGGCCAGGGAGTGTAAGTGTTCAAACAGATGAATAAACTATGGAGTGAAAGGAATTTGATCTAATGTTCAACTCCTTGCTGGCTGTATAGGAGTCACCGGCAACACCCTCAACACACACGGATTCCTGGAATCAGTCACGCCACCACGTTCATTCAGAACAGTCTGTGAAGTTTGTTCTACTGTAAGTGTGTGCAGAACAAATACACAGCATTTAAATTTACTTTGTGTTTACTCTCACAAATGTTTAAATTAGCTTCTATTGTAGGCGTCACGCACAAGCATCACATTACCGCAGATGTCAAGACAAGCTCACATGAAATTAGAAAGCCTTACTCATTTTGTTTGGGAAAGAAAAGGGAGTTTAATGAACCTTAAAACTGTTGTCAACTTCCTTATCGGTTACTGGAAGCATGTGTTTCACACGGATTATGCATATTGTATCTTAAAGGAATAGTTCACCCTAAAAAAGGACAATTTGCTCAGAATTTACTCAGCCTCAGGCCATCCAGGATTGTTTCTTTATGAGAACAGATTTGGAGAAATTTAGCACTACATCACTTGCTCAACAATGGATCCTCTGCAGTGAATGGGTGCCGTCAGAATAAGAGCCCAAACAGCTGATAAAAACATCACAATAATCCACATGTAATCCACACCACTCCAGTCCATCAATTAACTTCTTGTTTATTACAAACACAAGTCTTTTATCCATAACAGTGCTTTCTCCAGTGAAATTGTCTGGTCTGAATCAGGAGAGAAATATGCACGGATCCAACAAGCAAAAACAGTTCTAAACAAATATGTCAGTGGATTTTTGATGTTCATTGGACGAAGTGTTATTATGGATTATGGACCTTTGGTATTTTGGCTAAAGCGACAGTTTAACATTGAAATGTGTTAATGATAGATTTGTTTCTTACAAAAATGCAGCTTTTCACTTCATGAGATGTTAGACTGGAGATGTATGGATTACATGTGGATTATTGTGATGTTTTTATCAGTTTGGACTCTCATTCTGACGGCACCCATTCAATGCCGAGGATCCATTGATGAGCAAGTGATGTAATGCTCAAGTTCACCAAATCTCATCAGCATCTTGAATGGGCTGAGGGTGAGTACATTTTGAACTTAACTGGATAGTTCAGCAAAAATGAAAATATTGTCATAATTTACTCACTGACTATTCAAACCTGTATGACTTTCTTTCTTCTGATAAACACAAAAGAAGGCCCAAGAACAACATCAAAAACACTAAAGCACAAAATATCTTCTGTTTTCCACAGAAGAAATAAGTCTACATTTAGGAGGATGTGAGTAGCTCTAAGTGAAGTTTAACCTCAAAACAGCTACATGCGAGAAGATCCTGTGATCCAGGCACGTAGAATACATTAAGAATAAAGACATATCAAAATTCCGCTTAAGGGCTCTGGGCTCCTGCCAGCTCTGATTCACGTTATTCCTTCTTAGAGATGATTCTCCACTCCCTGAACACTTAATGCACTCATTTCCATATTTCAAAATATAAGATGACCCATTGCCAGAATTTAATGGTGACTTCTAACAGCCGTGCTGTACTTTTCCCAAGGATCTAATGTAGAAAAACTTTGGGAGATTGGAACAACAAAACTCAATGGTGCCAATAGAAGGTTCCTAAGCAGAATCTCACTGTTGTTGTTGTTTCCACAAATTTCAAAGGCAAACATATCTCTTTACCCACAAGTTCCACTGCTGTCTCTTCCTGTTCTTTGCACTTAATACAAAAAGGGGCATTGTTTCTGGGATATTGCACAAGACTGCTAATATTAATGATAATAAACAAATCGATACATTTATGTCAACTTTTCAGTGCACTCAGGATGAGCATTCAAAAATGCATGTGAAGCAAAAGTGAAAAACAATTTCAGTGAAAACCCCCGTAGTGTTTTTAGATACATATTCAGCAATTCAAAAGTGTATTCTATAACAAGCGTTCGGTCAAATAGTGCTCCTATCAGCTGCTGTACTATAATATGACCACAAAGCTCCCTCGTGTGGTTTAAACGCTCCCTTCATCTTCAGCGGAGGCACTAAAAGAACTACAAGTACCAGAGCGTTGTGCTGCCATAGCAACAGAACCAACGCGCCTCACTAGTGTCCAGATTTGACCGTGACAGTTTAACAGCGTTGTGTTGATAAACACAGAGAAAACGAATCGTTTTAAATATAATACAGAAGCATTATACGAGCGAAATGTCTTTCAAAAATGGACAGGTGGAAAACATTAAGTTCCCCTGGTAAGTTGCACATTTTGCGACCGCAATTTATTTATTTTTTCATTAATTCCAAAATCAGTTATAAGTTATAACTAATGTGTTACTTACTTTTTAAATTAAATTGTACCAACTTTTAACATGGAAAACTAGGGATTTAAGAAGACTATTCATGTTTCCCTTAGGCTGTTCAAAACTGTTTAAATATTAAACGTTATAGCTAATTTTCAAGTTTCTCCTGGGCAATGTTTTTTTTTCATCCTGTTAGGTTCAGTCCTGTTTGTACATTTTCTTGAAAGTGCAAGATCCTCAGGCCATTTAGGATTATATCACTTGCTCCACAATGGATCCTCTGCAGTGAATGGGTGCCATCAGAATGAGAGGCTGATAAAAACATAATCCGCAAGTAATCCACACATCTCCAGTCTATCAGTTAACATCTTGTGAAGTGAAAAGCTGCGCTTGTATTGCTTTCTCCAGTGAAAAAGTTGTCTGGTCTGAATCAGGAGAGAAATATGCAAATATTAAGCACCATTTACAAGCGAAAACAGTCCGAAACAATTCTTGACAAATATGTTGGTGGATTTCGATGTGAGGACAACAGCGGACGGAAAAACTTCACTGGAGGAAGCATTATTATGGACGTTATATCGTTTTTTGGAATTGTATTATGGAAGTTAAAAAGTCTTGATTGATTTGTTTATTACAAACATGCACTGGAGTGTGGATTACTTGTGGATTATTGTGATGTTTTTATCAGCTGTCTGGACTCTCATTCTGACGGCACCCATTCACTACAGAGGATCCATTAGTGAGCAAGTGATGCAATGCTAAATTTCTCCAAATCCAAATCAAATTTATCCAGATCTAAATTTTCAGCCAGTTTTCTTTTTTGGGTGAACAATTTCTTTAAGTGACAGAGTTAATCTGTTCATCTGTTACTGCACAAAAGGAATGACAACAAAAACTCTTGTCTTTGTCTTCAGGTTTAAGGAACGGCTAAAAACAAAATATCTCAGGGATCTAAGGCAAAAGCAACAGTTATCTGGGTCATTAGATAGTCGCAAATGGCGCTTTTTGTCCCCGGGCCTGGATGATTTTAGAGATGGTTACCCAACAGTCCATAAAGAGCTCTTCACCCAGTGTAAGAGTGGACCCTCCCCTGCAGTCTTTGGGATGTCAAATCACGCTTGTTCAGTGAAGTTCCCACAGAAGAGACTGAGTAAAAATCAAGTGTGTTACTCAAAGCAGAATCCCCAGAGTCAAGCTCAGCGCGAGTTCATTGACGCTGTTGAGTACAAACTCAAACAACACCCCCTGGCTCTCTATCCTCATCTGGAGAGCGGTATGACACCAGAGGTAACCACGTTTAATTGTAGTCATTATGATTTAATTATTTTCTGCATGTAAATAAATACACTTCAACTCATGTTAAAGTTGCTGTTAATCATTTTTTAAAATACCACTTATAAAATCCTATTAGCTGACAAATATCACTGAAGCGGGCCACATTTTGAGAAACGAATTTCTGAAAGCCAAAACAGATAAATGAATCAGAACATGGGCTGCGCATATTTAGCCAATCAGAGATCAATCAGAATCTATAATCTTTTTGAATATTTAAAAAATTGTGAACATTTATTATTTGTGTTATTTTACCCTCATATTAAACCACAAAAACTAAGTGTTGCAATGGGGTTTCTAATACAGTTGCTTAGGTAGTGACAGTAAATTTGACAACTTTCTCTCTTCTGACCGGTGTAATTAATTTCTATATATTTTTCCTCTCTTGGAAAGTGATGGAAATTAAACAGTGGCTTTCTCCTGCCCCTTTTTTTATGTTTATTTTGAGCAACCATGAAAATGTTTCCCACTGGAAGCTGGGGAGTGTTTGGGAAACCTGTTTAGAACAGGGTTCCCACTCTTTCATGAACACCAGATTCAAGGACTTTCAAGGACTTTGTCAAGCACCATTTATTTTATATCAAGCACCTATCAAATTCACACCCCAGCATATGTAGTGTCATGAAAAACCTTACAGTACTTAACATTTCACTTACACTTAACATTTACATGAAACATTTCAGAGTAATAATGTTTTGAATGTGTAGGTTTAATAAATTTAGACCGTTTTGAGCAGTCGTGTTCAAAGAAATTTAATGAAATCCATTGAAATCAGTACTGGTAATATTCAAATTAAATTTCTAAAATATTGATAAAATATGCATCAAACTGATTTTTGCTGTAGTTCTTGTACAAGATTTAAATTTGAAAGAATTTCTCAATTTTTAAATTAATAAAAAGTGGTTATTTTTTAAATAGCGCCATAAACAAAATTTATTTCAAATTTAATTCAAGCACTTTCAAGGACTTGTGTCTGTTTTCAAGTACTTTCCAGGCTTTGAATCCATATGTCTGAAATTCAAGTACTTGCAAGAAGCGTGGGAACCCTGTTAGGAACAGTCATCGTTTTGCGATTCCATTGGTGCTGCTAGTGCTGCAGAAGCCTCTAACAGCAGCAGCTTTAAATATGAGAGGAGACAAAGTATAGTCCATGGAATATCAATTGCAATGTACAGTATAGAAAATGCATCCAAATGTATTCAACTTTTCCTCAATAGCTATTTGATCAGGTGTTGTCAGTCCTGGATCCTGATATGTGCATGAAGGCAGAATTGTCCATACCCTCTCCAACGGAGCATCTAGAAGAAAGCAGTGCGCAATGTGAAATCTCAACTCCGGAGACTATAAAACCATCCATCACCATCAAGTGATTGTCCTTTCTTCTTCTTTTGAGCACATGTTTCTGGTTTTGGTTCTGATCCCATTCCAAAATGATGAGACGGGCCACACTTTTAAGTTAAAAGCAGTATTCCTATTTTAATGTCAAATTTCTTTTGTTGGGTGACCAGACATTACACAAGTACATGTTGTATATACTGTAATACCATTCCTGATACTCTTCTTACGTTTCCCTAGACCACAAAAGGAGAAATGTAAAGAGGCCAGACCAAGAAATCCTTATAAATGGCAGAAACTCAAAGAAACTTTGGGTGTTGAAGATCAGACGGCGAGTGTTAAACACCTGCACCCCGTATCGCAAGAAGATGACAAGCAGATGATTACCAAACTCTTCTGTGAATGGATTACCTCACTGGTAATATTTCTTCATGTACACATTAAAGTGCACGGATCAGATATGAAGCTTAAAAGGTCATTTAACCCGTTATCTCAGGGTGGAGAGACCAGTGATCTGACAGAGTCAACCATCTTGGATCTGTTTAAGAGTGACTATGAAAAGAAACCCTCCTTGACCTTGCCTATTAACAAGACTCATCCTAATCAAACTCCAGCAAAACTCTCCAGCTCTGTAGAGGGACATCATAAAGACGTTAAAGGGTTAAATCAGGTTGGGGACAATGTTTTGGTCCTTAATGTTTCAATTTTGTGTTGTTTGCCCAAAATTGTGGATCAATAAGTCTTGTTTATGTTTGTATGGCAGGCCAATAAACCCAATAGACCCCAGGCTGCCAATGATCCTCTAAGAGCCCCAGCAGATATCACAGGAAGCCTGGACTTTGAGGAACAGCTGAGTGAGAAGGTGACTTTTAGAGCATCTTTTAGTTATAAAAGGAGCAAATAATGTGACAGCTGATGAGGAGACAAACCAGTGAGTTCCATTCATATTTTACTGTCATCTAGGACGAAGAGCTGAAGCAGATTCACGGCATTCAGGCATTCAGAGAGTTCATTATCAACAAGGGAGTGAGAATGCCAAGGGTAATGCTGTTCACATTAAACTGAATTAATAGCTGCATATTTTATGAGATTAAATTTGAATTATGTTCCTTGTAATTAAACATATTATTATTCATTATATAATAAGAAATCATTATTTTATTTCGTGTCCCATGTGTAGTTTCTCAGCACTATCTTCTCTGAGGATGAACAGAAGAACAGGATCAGAGGCTCAAACACCGCAGGCTCCACTTCATCATTGTCTAAAGGGAGAGCTGTCCATTAAACTCTTTAAATAATATTCCCTTATGTTGTTTTATTGAACATCACTTCACACATTCATGGATCAGCTGCTCAGTGCAGTTCCCCAGACTACAGCTTTTTGAGATTAAAGTAACATTTTACCCCCAAGCCAGATTTTTGTATAATGTTATTTTACGATCAAAAAAATAAAACTAGGGCATATTTGGCATGGTTCTCTCTTCCTCTAGTTTTCTTCATTCATTCATAAAATGTTCAGTGAAAAACAAACACAGTGTTCTCAGCATCCTGGTGGGAATTACAAGGGCTTTCTAAGGATTTTTAGGTAAACAGCCTGCTCTCATACATTCTGCCATGCTAATGAGCTGCACTTGTCGGAGTTCTACATTGTCCCCTAGTGCTTTAAGGAAGAGAAATTTCATTTCAAAAATGTCATTCTTCATTAAAAACTAAATATTTTGTTTTAGAAGTCCTCTTTTATAATATATACCACTCTTAACATCTACAGACCTTCCTGTTGCTAAGCTCCGCTTTCCTTAGCTACAGCTTTTAACTCAGACAAGCTTGTCTGTGAACAGCATCAGCAGGAAAATGTGCTTGTAAAATAGTAAATATTGACTGCATATTATTCTAACACGGTCTGAAATTAATCAATTTTTGTTTCTGATATGTCCCGCCCTGTCTTCTCGTTTCAGTGGAAATTACGTCAACACAAAAAACTGAATAATGCTGCACGTTTCAAGGCATTTTAGTGGGCCTTTAAAAAAGAAATAAAAAACTGGGCCTAGCAAAGTTTCAGTTGTTAGCAGGTGAGTTAGACTGGCTTCTGACTTAAAGCGATGCATGCTGGTTAGAAATGTCACTGTGTCACTAAGTATGGCCTCACTTTATTGGTATTTTAATATTATCAGCATGTTATGAACTTTTTTTTGGTACATACAGGGGCTGTATTAAGCAGCGCATAAAAATGTTTTTAGTTTCTACATTTAAAATTCAAATGTCTGTTTAGCTGACAAATATTATATCTAATCCACTTTATTTGCAATGAAGAAAGCAAACAGTGAGAGCGTCACTATATGTCGGTTTTGACGACTCCATTTTCAACTGCTCAGAATTCAAATCAGTAAGGCCAGCCTCAGTCACGCCTATTGAGACTAAAATTCTGTCATTCTGACCATCATCCTTCAGATGAAGATAGCTTCTACGGCCTGTCCAGCTTGATTTTCTGAGATGCCTGTCCTGTGAGCTCATCTTGATTGTTGGCAGCTGATAAAAGACCAATAAAACTCCAGCTTTATCACCAATTAATCACTCACTGTGATTTACAACATACAATAAACAAATGAAATCATTGGCTTATTGACATTGTTAAATAAATCATCCTGCAGGCACCATTTATCTGTTTGAATTTCATAAAACGGCTCTAATTGTGTTTGATGTGAAGTGAAGCTCATATCTGATTAGCGTTGACAGGGCGCTCCATCTGCAGCCAACAGTTTCTGTCAGCGGGAAGATCAGTAGTGAGGAGAAGGTGCACAGGAGACCTGCATCCTGTCAGGCAATGCAGCTTCTTGAGCATCAAGCATCTGTGCATGTGGTTAGATGTCATGAAACTACTTGTAGTCAACTTGCAAGTGCACTTTTTCCTCTTACCTGTAACTGGTTATTCTCCCAATTGACCTTGTGGTACTTTTGGCACCTCTAGTTTCTGTCGGTCTGCAAAAAGAAAATGGTAAACAACACTTTAGTTTAGTTTAGACTGTTTATACATTCCTTGATGTAGCCTTCCCTGAGGTGCTTTCCTCTATAACGGCTTTTTATGAATGAGACTCTCACAGTCTAGATTTGTGGTCTTCCTTAGGTCTCCTCCTGAAGCTCAAGGTAGTGTGTGGTCCTTGCTCTTCTGCAATCCCACCACGCAGCTCTCTTACAAAACTCTTCAGCTCCACAAGGGGGTCAGAGACTCTCATCTGGAAAGATTCCAGAGGGAAATCTGTTCCAGCACATCCTGTCAGTTCAGATATTTAAGTGTGTGGGTGGTTAGAAGGGCTTTTTTTCATACCTCCATTAGGCCATTAACGTTAAGCTGAGCGAGGGGAAGAGGAGTCTGTATGCTGACTAGAGATCTGGAGATGTTACGCAAGTTCTGGCTTAGCAATTCCTTACCAAAAACATACACATGGGGAGATAGCATAACAGCAAAAGAATAATAAAGTTTGACCAGAAGATGATATAAAGTAATTACTACTACAGTAAATTTGTGTACATTTTTACCTTTATATCTAATGCATGCTGCAGTTTCAGTCTCATTAGCTCCTGCTCCTGCTTCTGAATAAATTCTTGGCATTCAGCAAAACTGTCAGACATCTGTACATTATATATTATAATGTTATGGTTTACAATGTCGGTCATATAGAACATCTGTTCCATCATCTGTTCAGTACTGTTGTATTTAAATAATCGTCTGTTTAGCAAGAAGCCCATCAGGCACCTTGTATAAAGCTGCTTCCAGTTTCTCAGCTTTGTATTTGAGCTCTCGCTCTTGTGAGCACAGAGCCTCCACTTCAGACTCCAGTCTTCTCCTGCTCTCCCTCTCTGACAACAGCTCTTGTGTCTGCGTCATAACCAGTAATGCCTGACGGTGCTTCTCCTTAAGAGACACAAACACACTTATTTGCAAAAAATATGCAAAAACAAACAGAAACAGAAGAAAGTAGCTGATTGGACTATGCCAAAGAAATCTGGGCATGTTTAGGTAGGTTGATATTTGTTCTTGCACTGTTAAAGCTTATGTCTGGAAAAACACATCAGTTTGAACAGTTACTCTGAAATGTTCTGCTGTTCTTTTCATTTATAATAACTAACTCTCAATGAATAGCGAAACTCATTAATGCAAGAACACTGTAATATGTTATCTATTTAATCCTGCAAATCAACACATACTTGCAGTAATACATTTACATACACATAATCTGCAAAATGTTAATAATTAAAAAATACATACAATTATATATATACAATGCTAATCCGGTTTAAAAGTTGACATCCCCCGGCTCTAAATGCATCAGGTTTCCTTCTTGAACTTCAGTGAATGTTTGCAACTTTTGCAACGGTTATGTATAAGTTCCTCAGTTGTCCTCAGTTTGAAAAGATACTGCAGTCACGCCCTCTGCGCTTCGGAGAACATGGATCTCAAAACCATAGTCACTGTTGGAAATAGTTCAAAGACGCAGAAGATGCTGGAAAACCAAGGAATGTGCAGGACCTGAAGTATTTTTCTGAAAAACAGCAGGCTGTTTAACTTAGGAAAAACAAATGACTCATAAACAACTATCACAAAACAAAAAACTGTTGTGGCCAATTCCATTATTATGTGAACATCTGTTGTGTGAAATAGCTTATTCAAGTCAGTATTACATATACAAACAAATGTGATTTTCATGATTCATGATTTTTTTTTTAATTATTAACTTTTTGCAGATTCTGCTACTTGCATATAAACTTATGATTACCACTGTACAATATAACAATTAAAACAGTGATTGGCCTGGAAACTGTCTCTCTGAGATGATTTCAAAATCAAATCATTTCTAACAAGTATATCAGATCAAGATACACCTACATTCAGGCCATGCTTCCCACTGTCTTTCTGATAATCCTCACCAATAAATATTTCATGCATTTTGGTGATGGCAGAGGGGAATCCCTGACAGTGCTTCGTGAAAATATAAAAGTGCTTCATGGTCAACAAAATGATTTCCCTTGGTCTCAAGCTTAAGGACACTTTTAGTCTCCTGTACAATAAAAAAAAGATTAAAAGGTGCCATTTTTAGAATGCAGACACCAATAGGCTGAAACTCCAACTCATTTTACAGTGCTTTGAAACATCTGAGAAAATATCTTTCTCCAGTTTTTTTCAGCTATTGTTAATTATTGGGAACATACATAAATAGAAAAGTTTTTTTTTTTTGATCTGAACATTATCATATCAGACGTGTTTCCAAACTGTCTGTAATTTAATCTCCAAATTTGAATAGCAGCTTGAACAGTCTGGGTCTGGACACCACCTTTTTTAACACTGAATACAGTGTTGCACAGTAAAGACGTATTTTTCATTACTGTACTTTTTTCAAGTACAAGTACTTGATCAGAGAATTTTTATTTTGAGAAACATTTACACTACATTCCAAAAGCATAATATTTCATAAATGAATGGAAATGAACATTTCATAAAAACATACCATTCCTTGCCACCTCCTCTGAGACACAAGCGTGATGTCAGATTTGTGAACAAGTTGTTTCTTTTCAATTAGCTGGTTGAATTCACCAGTTACACTGAACGATTCATTCGCAAATTGTACAGTAAATTTTTAAATACTAAAACCATTTAATTTCTATAATTTAATTTGTTTGCACATTTGAATTATCAGTAATTTTTATAAGTTTCATATTATAATAGTGTATAAAATTTATGGTAACAAGAAAAAGCTGGCTAGAATGAATAATTAACATGGTTCATTGATCAGTACCTTTTTCTTTTAATATCCAAGTACATTAAAAATCAAGTACCTCTGTACTTTTACTGTAAATTTACTACTTTTACTGGAGTTATATTTTATTAGGGTATCTCAAGTGCTTGACTTGTGTATTTCATCCACCACTGATCACACACACACACACACACTAATTAGTAAAAAGGTGGTATTGTGAGAAACAGAAAGCTGTTGTTAGTGATGCACCCCACCATCTTGAGCTTCTCTGCGTTCTCCTCCAGCAGCTGAATTCGGCTTTGCAGGAAATCAGTCTGCTCCCTTTTAGCAGTGATCTGTTTCTGCATTCCCAGAGCAATCTTAAGACCTGAAATACATATAAAACACTCTCCAATCAGTTCAACCGTGGTAAATACCATGAATAAAACTCTCTGAAAAAGAATTATTCACTGTCCTGTCAGCAACAGGAATATTATGTTCAGTGAGGTGTCGCCCTATCTGTGAAATGCTTGACATTCAAACTGAATGAACTCAGGTTGTTATGTTAGCTGCATCACATGTTCACAAGAGAATAACTTGAACTATACTGTTAATCAAAAAACACTTTGTCCAGTGAACCAATGAACTGAAACTTACGTCATATGAGACCATTTTTCCATTCAGTCCGTCTCACAATTGAATAGGACAAAATGAAACAATGGAGGGTTACAGAGGTCGGACCTAAGAAATCATAGCTACATTACGTACCGGCCCACAACCACAGCACACAGCGAGAACAAGTGTTCTTTAACAATGTCTCAATACACTAATGACAAACAGCTGAGAACATTGTATAAATGTTCAAATGCTATACTTTATACAGATTAAGTGATGGAAAAGTACATAGTGGAATAACAGCAGGAGGGCATGGACAAGATCTATAATCTCAGTATGCCGTCTTCCTGCCATTATCCAGAACGCAGAACAACAAAACGATGGCCACACACTGGCTCTCTGTAAAGAATGTGAATGAATCCAGTCACGTAGGGTGTGGTCTTCCGCCCTTTATTTTATATACACTTGGTCTAGTTCTGCTTTTTCCTGAGGTAACACTGTAGACAGTGTAAAAACATCCTTATTTTAAATATCAGCAGTGCTATGAATGGGTACGGATGTCTATATTTGTATTTGAGCGTAATTAGGACTTTCCTGAAACTTTTTCTCAAAGATTTGATCTCAGGGGCCAGTCCTGTGAGGTTACTGAGGGCGAATCCGAGTGCTCAGCTAAAAGAGTTCATCATTTTTCATTTCAAACGAGGCATTTCTGTGTGTGTGTGTGTGTTTGTACAGTACCATGCCCATCAGCTTCCTTCAGTGCTCTCAAGGAACTGTTGGCCTGGTCCAGCTCAGCCCGTACAGTCCTCAGCTGGGTCTTGAGTTTCAGGTTCTCTCGTTCCAGCTCACAGATCTTACTGCCAAGAAGCTCTTTCAAAGCTTTCTGTCCCTCTGATGAGTTTTTGGGGGTCAAAGTAAAAAAAAATGTCAGAGTGATACTGACAGAAAAAAAGCCTCATTAAAAGAATGAAATTATTGAAAAGAAAATATTATTAAACAGTTTGGGATCATTTTTTGTTATGAATTCTTAGAAAATATTCACTACTGTTCAAAAGGGTTTGGGGTCAGTAAGATTTTGTATTTAAGAGAAGTCTCTTTTGATCACTAAGGTTGCATCACTTTTTTCTATTTAAAATACAGTAAAACATATGCAAAATATGATTACATTTTAGAATAACTGTTTACTACTTCAATATATTTAAAAATATAATTAATTTCTGTGACGGCAAAGCTGAATTTTCAGCAGTCATTACTCCAGTCTTCAGTGTCACATGATCCAGAAATCATTCTAATATGTTGATTTGTTAATCAATTCAATTTCTTATTATGGATGTTGAAATTTTTTGTGGAAAATAAGATAGATTGATTGATGATAAATAGAAGGTTCAAAAGAATATGATTTATTCTAAATAAAAATATCATATGATTTAAGCTTAAGACAAGGTTAGCTCAGGTTGTAAATATGGAGCCACTCACACAAAACTTTTATGAATTGATAATTCATGACACCTGTTTAAAAAAATACCTTGAAAAATGTTACTGCAAAAACCTGTAAAATAATTTTTTATTCACTCACATGTATTCACGGTAAAAGGAATATATTATTACTTTTTATTTGATTAATTTTTTCAATTTAGTCTTTTCTTAAAATATACATATTTTTAATTGTGGATACTATGGATGTTATATATCACTGACCCAGATGACATTTGCTTTGAGTTTTTGTTTCTGCCAAATAATGTATACAATAACAATCCAATAAAAGCAAGAATGGTAACACTTTATTTTAAGGAGTCCTTGTTACATGTACTTACTATTATAACAATTAATTATACATAATTACATGCAAGTTTCCCTAAGCCAAACCCTAACCATATAGTAAGTACATGTAGCTAATTAAGTACTTAGATGTATAAGTGCTTAGATGTTCAGTACTTAAATGTATAATTACACTGTAACAAGGACACTATAAAATAAAGTGTAACCACAAGAATTACATGTTCAAGTTTTTAGGGACACTGTACTTGTTCAACACACACTTTAAAGTCAGTTTATATCAGGTATGCGGTTTGGGATTTCGATGAATCTGTGTTTGTACCTTTCAGCTGGGTAAGCTGCATACACCGCACTCCCAGCTCAGCGGTCATCTGCTGTTTCTCTAAACTAAGCTGATCAACATTGCAGATCTTTTCTGAGAGCACAGCATGCTGACAGGCCTTCTCTCCTTCCATTATGCTGAGTCTGAGCTCTGCCTGTCTCAATGCAGACTGTTAAACCAACCAGTATAGAGTACGGATGACATGCAAGAAACACTTACGAGAAGAAGTGCAATATAAAACACTCAGCTTGGATCAAAGGACATATTTGTGGAATATATCTTCATAGCTCTTCCTGTTCCAGCCATTCAGCATCAACAATGCCCAAATTTGAACAGAAACTACCTAATAGCTAAGGTATCCTATATTGTGAATTAGTTGTCACAGTCTAAGTTCTATAAAGATTCTTCCCTAAATTTCCCCACTTTCAGTTGCTGATTCTCCCCTATGAGCTGCTCGATCTGGTTAGTCAAATACTGTTGCGTGTCCACAGTGCAGCTGTGATTTGGGACAATATGCAGGACATTTTCCAGTTCTGCGCTCATCATCTGGTCATCTGCCTCTGTCGTCATGACCTTCAGCAGTCCTTGAGCCTCTTCCAGCTGGACATGGACCTGCTGCACTTCATGCTGCTTCAACAATGCCTGCAGATGACTTCTCTCCCACTGAAATACACATAACAAAACTGAAATTAAAGCACTTGATAGCCCAAAAAACTGCCTTCATTCTCTGAAGAACCAGCTGTTCTCAAACGGTGGAAAAAGACAGTTATAAGCAATTAAAGGAATAATTCACCCAAAAATGAAAAGTTGCTGAAAATGTACTCAACCTTAGGTTATCCATGATGTAGATGAGTTTTTTTCCCCCATCAGAACAGATTTGGAGATATTCAGCATTACATCACCTCTACAGTGAATGGGTGCCGTCAGAATGAGATTCCTAACAGCTGATAAAAATATCACAATACTCCACAAGAAATCCACAACTTCAGGCAATCAAATTAAGTAAAAAGCTGCATGCTTACAAAAGAAAAATCCATAAAGTCGTTTATATCCTCAAACAGTTGCGTCCAGCTAAAAATACAAATCCTTTATCCATAATATTGTTTTCTCCAGTAAAAAAGTCATCATGTCTGACTCATATTGGTCCAAAATAGTTCTAAAAAATGCAGTTTTTCACTTCACAAGACATTATTGATGGGCTGGATTACTTATTGTGATATTTTTTATCAGCTGTTTGGACTCTCATTCTGACGGCACCCAATCACTGCAGAGGAGCCATTGATGAGCAAGTAATGTAAAGCTAAATCTCTCCAAATCTGTTCCGATAAAGAAAGGCACTCATCTACATCTTGAATTAGTAAATTTACAGCTTTTTTGGCAAACAATTCCTTCAATATAATTGTGCATAGTTAGGAGGATGCAAAAAAATAATAATAATAATCCGCCAATCAACTTTTAAAGGGGAGGAGAAAACACTTTTGTCTATAGTATTAAGTTCATGGTGATATTTATAATTTAGTTTTATTTTAAGGAGCTCTTTGTTTACTTTTGTAGGATAAGCAACTTTGCTACTTTGTTTGGTAGGCATCTTCATCTTCAATGAAAAACTTGAAGCAAAACCGCTGCTATAAACAATATGAGTACAGATGATGTCGCCTTGTGTCAACAGTCATGTGTCAAGTTAAGAATGAAGAACATATAATATCAATGGTGTTGAAACAGCAATTCCTCTTTGCATCATTCTGAACAATCTCAATGAATGTGGTAAGTCCTGTAATACAAGATGCAATTGCAGTTATTCCTGTTGGAGTCTGAGGCTGGTACAGGCTGTGCTGACCTGCAGTTGAGCTGCCTCTCTCTTGGCTTGCTAAAGCTGACCTCAAATCAATTCTATCTGACAGCGAGACCAGAGACTGTCTCTGCCGACAGCTCAAAAACCATATAGTAAGTACATGTAGCTAATTAAGTACTTAGATGTATAAGTGCTTAGATGTTCAGTACTTAAATGTATAATTACACTGTAACAAGGACACTATAAAATAAAGTGTAACCACAAGAATTACATGTTCAAGTTTTTAGGGACACTGTACTTGTTCAACACACACTTTAAAGTCAGTTTATATCAGGTATGCGGTTTGGGATTTCGATGAATCTGTGTTTGTACCTTTCAGCTGGGTAAGCTGCATACACCGCACTCCCAGCTCAGCGGTCATCTGCTGTTTCTCTAAACTAAGCTGATCAACATTGCAGATCTTTTCTGAGAGCACAGCATGCTGACAGGCCTTCTCTCCTTCCATTATGCTGAGTCTGAGCTCTGCCTGTCTCAATGCAGACTGTTAAACCAACCAGTATAGAGTACGGATGACATGCAAGAAACACTTACGAGAAGAAGTGCAATATAAAACACTCAGCTTGGATCAAAGGACATATTTGTGGAATATATCTTCATAGCTCTTCCTGTTCCAGCCATTCAGCATCAACAATGCCCAAATTTGAACAGAAACTACCTAATAGCTAAGGTATCCTATATTGTGAATTAGTTGTCACAGTCTAAGTTCTATAAAGATTCTTCCCTAAATTTCCCCACTTTCAGTTGCTGATTCTCCCCTATGAGCTGCTCGATCTGGTTAGTCAAATACTGTTGCGTGTCCACAGTGCAGCTGTGATTTGGGACAATATGCAGGACATTTTCCAGTTCTGCGCTCATCATCTGGTCATCTGCCTCTGTCGTCATGACCTTCAGCAGTCCTTGAGCCTCTTCCAGCTGGACATGGACCTGCTGCACTTCATGCTGCTTCAACAATGCCTGCAGATGACTTCTCTCCCACTGAAATACACATAACAAAACTGAAATTAAAGCACTTGATAGCCCAAAAAACTGCCTTCATTCTCTGAAGAACCAGCTGTTCTCAAACGGTGGAAAAAGACAGTTATAAGCAATTAAAGGAATAATTCACCCAAAAATGAAAAGTTGCTGAAAATGTACTCAACCTTAGGTTATCCATGATGTAGATGAGTTTTTTTCCCCCATCAGAACAGATTTGGAGATATTCAGCATTACATCACCTCTACAGTGAATGGGTGCCGTCAGAATGAGATTCCTAACAGCTGATAAAAATATCACAATACTCCACAAGAAATCCACAACTTCAGGCAATCAAATTAAGTAAAAAGCTGCATGCTTACAAAAGAAAAATCCATAAAGTCGTTTATATCCTCAAACAGTTGCGTCCAGCTAAAAATACAAATCCTTTATCCATAATATTGTTTTCTCCAGTAAAAAAGTCATCATGTCTGACTCATATTGGTCCAAAATAGTTCTAAAAAATGCAGTTTTTCACTTCACAAGACATTATTGATGGGCTGGATTACTTATTGTGATATTTTTTATCAGCTGTTTGGACTCTCATTCTGACGGCACCCAATCACTGCAGAGGAGCCATTGATGAGCAAGTAATGTAAAGCTAAATCTCTCCAAATCTGTTCCGATAAAGAAAGGCACTCATCTACATCTTGAATTAGTAAATTTACAGCTTTTTTGGCAAACAATTCCTTCAATATAATTGTGCATAGTTAGGAGGATGCAAAAAAATAATAATAATAATCCGCCAATCAACTTTTAAAGGGGAGGAGAAAACACTTTTGTCTATAGTATTAAGTTCATGGTGATATTTATAATTTAGTTTTATTTTAAGGAGCTCTTTGTTTACTTTTGTAGGATAAGCAACTTTGCTACTTTGTTTGGTAGGCTCTTCAATGTTCAATGAAAAACTTGAAGCAAAACCGCTGCTATAAACAATATGAGGACAGATGATGTCGTCAACAGTCAAACATATAATATCAATGGTGTTGAAACAGCAATTCCTCTTTGCATCATTCTGAACAATCTCAATGAATGTGGTAAGTCCTGTAATACAAGATGCAATTGCAGTTATTCCTGTTGGAGTCTGAGGCTGGTACAGGCTGTGCTGACCTGCAGTTGAGCTGCCTCTCTCTTGGCTTGCTAAAGCTGACCTCAAATCAATTCTATCTGACAGCTGGACCAGAGACTCATGCTATTCTGTCTCTGCCGACAGCTCAAAAGTGTCTTATACTCACCAAGGATGCATTTATTTAATCAAAAATACAGTACACACAAAAAATGTGTGAAATATTATTACAATTTAAAATAACTGATTTCTATTTTAATACATTTCAGGGCTCGCAAAATTTCGAAATCCCTGGTAGCCCTTCGGGCAGGTACTCTTCAGATTTTGGTAGCCTGAAAATTAATTTAGCTAGCCCAAATTAAAAAAAGACCTTTTCTTTCTTTTAAATATAGAAAATCAGATATGAGTTTAAATGTCAATCAACAATATTTTCAAAACACAAATATCAACAAATATGAAGGAAGGAATTTTATTTCACTATTTACAGGGCATCTGCAGATTTTTTTAATTTAAGGCAATTTATGACCCATTTTAAGAGCTGCACAAGTAAAATGAACACAGTATGAGTGGGTTTGGACAATGTCTGTGGTAACATACAGTATTGAGCCATAAAATTACATGATTTACAGTTCAGATACAGGTTTTCACAAAAACAAAAATCTTATACAACAGCATTTCAGCCTTTAGACCATTTTTATGAAAAGGGATAAATCAAGCATATAAATTATGTCAATTTAAAACGTATAAATATTACTGTCTTAATTGTTTAGATTTTTAGAAGGCACATTAACTTCTTTCTCATTTACAACTCTATGTGTTTGATGTGTAAACACATGAGTTGATATTTGCATTGATCTGACCAAGCAGCCCCGCGCTCATAAACGCTGCTTTATCAGGTCAAATGAAATTAAAATGCCAATGACACGTTTCCGAGGACAGTCGGTTCCCATCAGATACATTCAAATAAAGACATCCGCGCCGCTTGCAGCGCTCATATTTATTCAACATCATTGCCTTTTTAAGTTTAATCCAGCCGTATCCCGACTCTTGTCTTTCCGTCCCCGACTGTAAAACCTCTTGAAATTATAACTAAGACATTTCTTATACCATTTAACGTATTTAAAACTTTTCATGGCCTTAAGTTTGATATAACTCACTTTAGGAGTTTTTAAGGACCCGCGGGAGATCTGCATTTAAGATAGCCCGTGGGGCAGAGTGGTGATACATTTTGGTAGCCCGACTGGAAAACACAATAGCCCCGGGACGTCGGGCTAGCGATTTTGCGAGCCCTGCATTTTAAAACGTAATTTATTTCGGTGATGGCAAAGCTGAATTTTCAGCAGCCGCTACTTGGGTCTTCAGGGTCACATGATCCTTGAGAAATCATTCTGTTATGCTGATTTCTGCTCAAGAAACATTATTTATTTCTTATTACTAAGATAATATTACTATTATTTTTTACAAGAAACTCATTATTATCAGTGTCGAAAATGGCTGTGCTGTTTAAACCTTTTTTTCAGAATTCTATAAAGCCTAGAAAATTCAAATGAACATCACTTATTTAAAATAGAAATATTTTGTAACATTATAAATGTCCTACTGTCACTTTCGATCATTTCAATGTGGCCTTACAACTTTTGGACGGTAGTGTACACTTGTCAACAGGAGATTCTACTATAGCATCTGTAATGAAAACTTCTGTTTTGGTGTGATGCCGCCAATGTATATCAGTGTAAGGATAAATACCTCTGATCATGACCACTGACTTCCACCTTTTACTGTTGATAACATTTCTTAATGCTGAAATGTTTTTTTTGGGCCAAACAGTGTGCCCAAGTGGAAATGCGAAAGTAAAGACTGACCCATCCTCTGCCTGTCATTGGTCAGTCAAATAGATAAGCCTGTCCAAATCTCGCCATTGGTTGAACTAATGTTGCTATGTGTTTGGGCTAGTCTAGATGCACAAACAAACCATCAATGTTTTGAGTGTCACAGAGACACAGCATTAAAATAGCAACCTCCTGTTGACATGTCTCTAACAGTTGTTATTAATATCCTTTTTTTCCTGAAAAAACTGAAAAGAAAAAGCAAACATAACAAACTTGTCTTAAGTAGCCTACACTGCTGTTTACTACTGTAAGTTGGCAGAGTTGTGTATGTAATTGGGCTGAGAGGTCCCTTCCTCTCACGGCCTTCTTGGCCTGGGACTGGGATTGAGCCAAATCCTCATCCACTGACTTGAACCAGCAGCCAACTCAATTACGTTCCAACAAACCCTTCTCTCATTGTAGAGTACAGCCACATTGAACATATGAAGGCTATCAAGCATACCAGCTGCATCAGTCAGACAGTGCTAATGTGAAACATCCATCATAACAGCATCCAAGTTCTCCAGTTTGGGTGTAAACACAAAAAGGAGTTGGAACACTCATCTCATTACCTTGTTGTTTCTCTGACTCCAGCTCATTTATCTTTCTCTGGTGTAAACGGGATAAACTTTCAGCTGGTTTTCTAACTTGAACATGAAACAAAATGATTTGAATCAAAAAGTGACAGAATGAAAAGCAAAACAATTTAGTTGGGATGATATATACATGATGAGAACTTACTGTAACTAAACAAAAGTTGCAGCCTGGTGGAATTAGTCTGTAAGCGCTAAAATGTCTCAGTCAATATCGCCACCTCCTGGTCATGACTGGTAATGAGCTGCTCTTGTCTGTAACGGAATATAATGTACTGTGACGGACCAACCGTTCTGATACTCGGTGAACCTTAAAACTCAGTTGAACCCAGAGAGACAAATACAAAGGACATTTCTTAAAAAAAGCAATTTAAAAAATAAATAAAATCACACACTCTTGAACACAGAATAAATAAATAAAATACAGATTTGACAATTCACATGTTTGAACTTTAGTTATTCAAGTTGTCACAATGTTTTTATTTTAATAAACACTCCTGAAGTGTACAATCTATCTATATCTACATACCATTACCACTCCAGCACTTCCGAAATCTCAATCTAGCAGTATATTCACTCTCCATTCCATCTATATTATGTAGTATACTGTAACAATAGTGTATTGTTTTGTATGGTGTGTACACTGCTTTTCTACTGTGTTTGTACTTTTGTGATGTCCTAATAAACATGATCAAACTAATTATCAATTTGTACTCTTATTCTAGGTTGATAGTTGCTATAGGTATAATACAATAGGTAAGAAATTCTCACTAATACTGACAACTTCCTTAACCGACCTCTCTGAATCTGTAGATCTAATAAATAAAAAATATAAATAAATAAAAGTCAAATGTTTTGATTTCTTAGTGTATTTGGGAATTATCCATAGCATATTTATTAAACTGATTAATTTCCACTTGTAGGGTTCTCTTTAGACCTTTGTTCAACTACTCACTGTACGATCTGAATATTACGTAGCAGATTTATATGAGTTTCATTGTTTATTGTAAATCCGGACAATTAATTGTTTGGGGAAAGTAACAAATTTTGGACCTGTAACGTTACCTAAAGACACAATATCGTTTCATCTTTTCCACTCTGTGTTTATTATTAGCTGACACACAGTCATTGACATCAAAAGAAAGCAGTGCATATTATTTAAAGATAAATATTTGCAACCAACTTGTCAACTCACATAGTATGTTTGTTCTGGAGAAATAGCGCGCCGAAACCCTTCCGGTTGTGGACAGCAGGTGGTATAGTCATCAGCTTTATTTTTGATAGCCAGAAAGCATCCTGTATAAGCGTGATATTCGCTTTCGCTACTAATTAAATTGGAAGTACAGCCAGTTTTAAACTGAAGGTAAATTTATTTTGTTTGCATTTGCAACAAGATTTGACCAACGCTACCTAACTTGCTAGCTAATTTGCAAACAGGCGCAATGAAGACCATAATCACCATAGCAACTACAGAGCTCGTAACAATCTAACCAATTAGCTCGAAGAAAAAGTCCCTCCCTCTGGCTTGTCATTTGCATTCTTACAGGCAAAGGGACTATACAGGCCATTGTAACAAGTCGATTTTCTGTTTAATCATAACATAATTATATAAAATAATCCAGTACGCCTTTACCATATGCATCAGAAACATGCAATATTTGTCACAATAATCAATGTCGCAAAATCATTCAATTAAATTTAAAAATGTTAATAAAAAAGTTAAGCGTAAGCGTAAGTTGCCTTGCCATACACGGTAATAGCCTAAAAGATATTGCATGTAATTATAATGTAAATATTGTAAACAAATAAAACAAAATATTGTGGAAAAATATAAAAATATATGAATAATTATATAAATAAAGAAGCATTAATTATAATATAGCCTTCAGTAAAACGTTATGTTATATTCAATCTAAATATTTAAATATATTATATTTAAAGGCAATTAGGCCTATGTATAATTTTGTTGAAAAACATGATATAGTTTAATATAGTTTAATAATATTAACATTATATTATTGAATGACATACAGTAATGCTAAAATATAGACACATAAATGTCATGTAGTAGTTTTGTAACTTTTCTTTTTACAAATACATGTTTTTTTATTTTGTGTTATCTAATTATACTGCACTTTTGTCAACATTTGTTGCATTTTTATGTGCTATAGAAACACGTGTATAGACAATGATATATATATATATATATATATACAGAGAGAGAGAGAGAGAGAGCGAGAGAGCGAGAGAGATTTTTAATTCTTTGAAAAAATGTAGGTTATAAAAATATTATAAAGAAAGATCCTAAATGAAACTTCTTAATTTATCCAATGAAGATGTTTTTGATAAAATTGTTGCTACATACAGCAACAGATTTATCATTCTGCAGTTTGTTTTGTATTTATTGTATAAACATACATTTTCATTATGTCATGCAAAATTATGTATTTTTTTTATTAAAAACTACGTAAGTCAGTGTTTTGGTGTTCAGTTGTTTATTTCTTTATAAAGACGGGCGGATTTTCACTCTCAAGTAATATACGCACCAAAGAGCGCGTGAATGTGGTCCTAGCAAGTCCGCATTAAAGACAACGCAACACGAATGTTTCGTCATGGTAAGCGTTCACCACAAAAGATGACAATGATGAAAGATGATAATTTCACCGTCTTGATAGTGTCTTTCTTCACACTTGCGGAACAGAGAGGGAGACCCACGGCGCGGGTGTGTGTGGCCTCCTCTTCCCACGCACCCCTCCCCCGTCTGTCCGCTCGCTCGCTCTGCCCAAAATGTGAAACCAAATCCGAGCAGCAGGTCACAGAGCCTAGTTATTTTAAAACCAACACTGAACTACCTTGACAGGACCATGGAAGTAACGCGGAACGGGCAGTTTAAAGAAATAATCGTCGCCGTGAGAGAGACAGAGTAACATGAGGGAGCGCCGCTGAGCTCGTTTAATGTGTTTTGTTGTTTGGCTGCTCGTGGGTCTCCAATGTCTCTGCCCGTAGTTCTGCCTGGATCTTGCTGTCGGGGGCCGGGGGCTGCTCTGGCCCATCAGTTCGCAGACGCATCT